AGGTCATGGTAGGCTTTGTGAGTCTTCCCATTTTATTCTCACACCACCCCTGCTGAGTAGGCTAAACTGAGAAATAGAATGGCCCAAGGTCACCAGCATGAATTTCATGAGGCCTGTATCCCATCTGAGGCCAGCTACAGAGAAGCAGTGGAATTTGCATGTGTGTTGGTGAACCAGTCCCATTTATCACAATGTATCTACTTCAGATGGAACCAAATTTTGATTTAAGTACAGTAATTTAAAAAAAAGCATACAAAGCTGGTAAATACCTTAGCCACAAAGTTTCACTGTTCAAATGTCTCCATTGCTTTTTAAACAGTACCAATGGCAGTAACCACACTGAATAAGACTGCAAGCACAGCAACATCCCATTCCCCTGAGTTTTCAGGAAAGATGATGCCCTGGTGGCTGTAAGGCCAACTCACACAGACAAATCAATATCAAGCCTAATCCATGCAGCCTTCCTTTACTCCCAGGCCTGCCCGACCAAGAGATTGAATGCCAATGCCCCCACATCAACTCTCTTCTACTACTAGCACTCCCAGTCTTCTGCTTTGCAACTACACTAAGTGAGAATTTTATGTGCAGGATTGCTTCCTTTAACTGGCACTGTCATAAAGCTGTTTAATGTCAACATGAGATGAATGGGCATTATAATCTAGTATGATTCAGTATGAACAAATGTCATTATATGTTTTGGGAATGGCAAATAAAAAAGCCCCTCTTCTTCAGAGGTCTGAGCTGGTCATTGGAAATTAGGTCCTTTATTTGCCCCTGTGGGCCAAAGGTGTAACCAGAGATATTCTGAGGCAGTTCAAAGGTGCCATTAATTGGTTTCATTCACAGCAGATAAATGGAATCAGGTCCATGAAATGAAGGCACAATATAAAAGAAATCAAAGGGAAATCAATGCATTTCTAACATAGTAGCATGCGGTAGATGAAATGAAAAGTGCAAAGTCGAATAACTTGCATTAAAGTATTAGATGACATTATAGTCATACAAAATTAGCCACAGTTAGTCCTTTATAAAACACGATATTTGCCCCTAATCTGCAACCAGATTTCTAATTGAAGTTCCCTACATTCAGCAGTTTTTGGCCTAAAAACAGAGAAGGCAAGACATATAGCTGCTTATTCCAAGGAACAGGTTCCTGAAGCTTTTGCAGGAATATGCAGTAGTGATCCAGGAAAAATTCAAGAGGGGAAAAATGTAAAATAAAGAAGTGAAGTCGTGTGTGTGTGTGTGTGTTTGTGTGTGTGCGCGCGCATGTGAGGAATTAAAAAAAGAGACTGATCAAGCAGGGCATTTCAGGCCTGTGGTGAGCGGCTAGATGAAAATGTTGACCAAGTGTCAGTGCTTCAACTACTGTGAAAACGGTAAGAGTCCATGGTGAAGGTCAACAGAAGAAAACTGGTGACATTGTAATGACCTCCTTTATAAATATATCTGTGTGCAAACTCAGAACATTGTGTGCTGTTCTGGTTAGCACACCTCAAAAAGGATATGGTAGATCTGGGAAAGGTGCAGAAAAGGTCAAGTGAAATGATCACGGGCCTCAAAGCAATGCCCCTGTGAAGAAAGATTCCAAATTGGAGCTTTTTTCATCCTACAGAGTTGATTACTGTGTTTTTCCATGTATAAAACACTACATTTTCCTAAAATCGTTGCACTAAAAATTGAAGGGTCTCTTTTATACAGAAGTAAGCAGAGATAGCTGAGGATAGAACAAAATGGCACATACCTTGTCTGTCTGTAAACAGGCTTCCTTCAGTCCTTTTATACGGAAGTAAGCGGAGATAGCTGAGGATAGAACAAAACGGCACATACCTTGTCTGTCTGTAAACAGGCTTCCTTCAGTCACGAGGCTTAGCTTCCTCCAATCACGAGCCTTATGGAACTGATGTCTGATGCTGAACAATCTAATTGGAACACACCTCGTTGGAGCCTGTAGGCTCAAATTCAACAGGGACTCCTAATATCCAATGTTCTGAGCCCAGAGGCTGAGTACTCAAAGCTAAGTTTTCTTAATTTTGCGTTAGAAAAGTGTGTGTGTGTGGGTGTCTTATAAATGTGGGCATGTTATAAATGGAAAAATACGGTATGTACATGACATGAAATATTTATGATTGGAGGGGGCAAGCGTTTTGCCTTCTGTGATGGCACTAGGTGAGCCAGTATGGATGTGGCTTGATGGTACTCGACTTACAGTATTCAGACCTGGGCAGGGCTCATCCAAGGAAACTGAGTGGTGGGGGGTTCAGAGGAATAAAAGAAAGTAGTTATTACATGGCACATAGTTAAACAATGTGATTTAGTCTCCCTGAAATCTTGTTTCATTTCACTCTAGTCCATACATCTCAAGTATTACAGTGTTAAGATCCACGTCTTGTTTTACAGTTTTGTAACTTCTCGCATTCCAGTTCCGTTTGTATGCACTGAAGATACCTTCTGCCTCCATGCACATACTTTTGACTTTAAATCTAGTTGCTCCATTGCTATTCATATGTATCCCTAGAACTATTTGTACACAGTATATTCTTAGCTTTTTTCCCTCCCACACCATTTCTTGTTTCATTTTGGGCTGTTTCATTGTAGCGTTTTTAGGCTATAAAGTATTCAGCAGTTGTTTACCATTGCTCTTTTCTGCACAGTACTAACAAGAGTTAGCTTGAGTGTCACTGCCATTTCTCATGAAAAGTCATCCACTAGTGTCACCTGCCACTACTGCTGTTCAGTAGCTGTCCTTCAAAGACTTCACCAGCACTGAAACTTATCAATTTCTGATACTGCTGTTAATTCCAGAAGAGGGTGGACACATCTTAGTCTGGTGTCTGTTTTTACCATTCTGCTCTGGTCATAGCTACTAGCAGTCTAGATCCCTAACCAAGTCTAGTCTTATGACAGAATTGCTCTCAGCTTCCCTGGCATGCTGAAGCCCCCTCACGAAGGTATGTATCTGAGAGGGGAGGCAATGTACTATATTTTTAAAAATTAGGTTAAATCCCATTTT